CATCATCGATTGGTTGATGGTCGTTTTCCTTTCCCCGGTCCCCCTTGAACCTAACCAAGGCCCGGTGGGTACGTCAAAAAAAACCGTTATTTGGGGCAGGGCCCCCAGGCAAGCCCATGAAACTAAAAGTTTCCCGCCCTGCCCCTTTGTCCTTTGTTTTTCCCTCCCCAACCCGAAGTATCGCACCTGTGGGCTCGGGCCCCCACTAAAAACAGGGGGAAAGAAACAAACAAGAGGGCGGTCAGGAATGGGGGGAGACACCCGCCCCCTCAGCACCCAGGGGGAAGAAGACTGGGCGGGGGGGAGGGGCTGGGGTACCCTTTAGAAAAGGTAGTCCCTGCCCCACACCCCCGAGGGGGCTAGTATTTGACGCGGGAGACCCTAATTGTTGATAAATGAGGCTGATCGCACTTGAAAGCCTCGTGGTCACAGGGTTATTGCCCCGCATATAAAGGAAAAGGGGGGGTTCCCAGCTTGCCGGGCAAAGGAAAAAAACAGTCGGGGGTTTTCCCCCGGGGGGGGAGGGGCACGGGTTTGAAAGCAGTGAAAGTGGAGAAAAACCCGGCCCAGGGAGTAGAGCACCACTCCACTGCACCCTCCCCCCAGGGGCCCGTATTGGTTTCCCGGGTTTTTTGACCGGAGGGGCATTTCCCCATCACCCAGTGAGGAAGTAGCGGGGGCAAATTTTTCCTACTCGGGGGTTTTGGTGGCAAATTTTCGTAAAACCCGCCCCCGGGGAATAAACTTTACCCTATGTCATAAAATGGCCCAGAAAAGGAAAAGGTGGCCGGGGGCCCCCAATTTGGGGGATTAAAGCTTTTGCGCCCAGCTATCCCAGTCGCGCCTTTCGGAAATGGCCTGGGAAAAAAACCGTGATAAAGATACGGCGGTTTATCCCTGCCCCAGCCCCCGTTTTATCACCCCCCCCCCGTTACTTGCTCCTTCACCCCGCCCAACGCCCTCTATCCCCCCAATTAAGGCCCCAAACCCCTTCGGGGCTAAAGGGGAGTATTTCGTCGTTGGCATCTTCCGTTTCTTCAGCCCCCCCCTTTCTTGTCTACCTTTCCGGATTCCGTCAGCAGTCTTTTGGAACCCGTTTCCAAGGAAAACGTTTGCGAGAAAGGCCCCCAAACTTTTGCAAAAGGGTTTGAACCCGCCCTCCTGCCCAAGTTGCTGGTCCCCGCAGCCCCCTTCCCTTTTCCAAGGGGGTTTGGACTCGAAAAACCTTTTCCCGGAAATGAGGGTTTGTGCCGAGGCGGTGGGGGAGGGCCAAAAGCCGGATTTCTTCCCCAAAAAAAAGGCAGTCCCACCCCTGCATTACATGTGGGAAGAGATGGGGGGCCCAGTTTTTGGGAAAAGTGGTTCTGCCAAAGTGCCGGCAGCCCCGGACGTGGGAGCTGTAATTCCGGTCAGGGCAGTACTGTATTTACGGCCCATGGGGCAACGTGGGTCCCGGCACAGCCCGCCCCAGCAACGGAAAGGTCACCCCGCTTTTGGGCCCCCAGTTTGCACTTTTCCTTGGCCAGAAAGATCTCGCCTTACCCCTTCCTTTCCCCCGTGTCCTCGGGCCGGGCCACCCCGGTCCCAAGCCCCCTTCCCCCGCCGGGCCCATACAATGTCCCGGGGGGGCCCAACGGTGTCACGCTGTGCTGCATTAAAAAGGGCCTTGGTGAACAAAAGTCAAAAAGGGGGGGAAACTTCGGTGAAATAAAACCAGAGAAATCAAACAGATGGCTTTTCCCCGGAAAATGAAAATGGGAAAACCATTTTGACGAAAAGAAAGAACGGGTTTTGTCTGCGTCAAGGAAGGTTGGCCACCCCCTGCGGCCTCCTTGTTCAATTTTTGTCAAGCGGTTTCCTTTTAAAATTTCCCCCATCCCATGAAAAAACCCCTTTAAAAATGTACGTAAATTTTTGAGCATTTCACCCTTTCCCTTTAAACCCCCCAAAGACACCCCCCTTGAGTTTGCAGGGCAGAAGGGAAAATTCCACAGCTTCCCCTTTGATCTGGATTTTGCAACAAGGGGGAATTAAACCCCCAAAACATATGTTAGCCCCCCGCCTTTACGAAAAACCCAAAAGGGCCATCACTGATTTCCTGTTTTTAAACGGTTTAAAGGTATCCCTTTTGAAAATTAGGGGGTCAGCCATTGGCAGCCCCTTGGTGACACCTGCCGTTTTGGGGGGCCCTTTGAGGAGGCCCCGCTATTTTGAGTGGGCCCAGGACTTTTGGGGATGAACGGAACGTCATTCCTCTGTTGCACGTCCTGGAACAAAATGCTGTTAAACCAAGGGGCTGGTCGGGGGTTGGGGGAAGACGTGGCCCGCCCCAGATCTAACACCAAAATGACCCCTGGGGGGGGCAGGACGGGGAAAAAGGAGGGGGGTAGAGAGGACATTGGTGAAAAAGGAATTATTGAGTAAAGGGGTTTTTTTTTCCCACCAGGGGACAGGAGGGGAGGAGCAGGAGCTTTGGGAGAGGAGGGGGGGGGGGGAAAAAACCGAGGACCCAAAAAGACCCGGGGCCCAGTTGTGTGGAGATGGGGGCGGGGATTTCCCTGAATTCCCTTGGCACGCAAATTGGACCTTAGCATGCTCGGTTGGCTTGTCGTAGCGACAGTTCGATTAATTAACGCCATCAGACACAGAGGGAGGTTGACTACTTTTGATGATCCACTTGGTTAGAGTACCCTCGTACATCGTTTCCAAAAATTGGTGGTCCTTATGTTCCACACAGGCTGAGAGGGAAAGGCCAAAACTTAAAAGTACTATAAAAACCACACTATGTAGATACAGTTGGACTAGACTTGCCTTTCTGACGCCAACGTTCCATCGCTCGCAGATACTGTGTGGCCCTGGCTGAGCCGATCGCGGTATCCGCTAGCATGGGCAGCAGGGGGATTTGACAGGTGGGGTGGGTGTAGGTTAGGAGCAGTGGCAGCTCCACTCAGCAGCGAGATGAGAGACATAGCCTGAGTCAGCATGTCGATGAGATTTGAGTAGCTTTCTTCACCAGATATATCAGTGTAGGAAATAATACTATAGATCAGCCGCAGAGCTTCTTGCAGCTAGCTAGCAGCTATCAGGTTGGACCTGGTAGAAGGGTGGGGGATACTTCAAACACAACAGGCTTGGGCCTACTTGGACAGCACCCTGCCATAACCGAGGGTAAACACAATCCCCTTGGACTTAAATGGGCAACCGAAACTTGGACCCTTGGTCCCCAAACTAGCTGAATTTTGCCCTTGACAGGATGTCCACTGCCATCCGGCTAGGTAGGTTGAGGCCCCCCCCCCCCCCCCATTTTGAGTTGGCCTCCGATGATCCAGCACGCTCGCGTTTAGTGCGGCAGGGAGTGTATTGGTAACTCGGAGAGCAGGACAGACTCGATGTCCACCCAAAGTGTTGACGAAGTGACTCTCGTTTGTGAAAAATGAAGCAGGCGTTGGATTAGTCTAGGATTTTCTAAAACTCACCAGAGTTCCTGCACACAAGCTGACCTAATAACCTAGCCGTTTCAGGCCGCTACCTGAACACATCTCGAGGAATTGCGGCTTTGTAATATTCATGTCGCCATTAGACGGCCTGCATGTACTGAACAGCTCTTGGAATGTGCTTTATTATATGTGTCAGCTTTTAGAGGCGAGGTCCTGGACAGCTGGATGGAATTGATTTGTATATATGTACTTATTGTCCGCTGTCGCGGACAGCATCCAATGATATTTTCTTTTGTGATATTATATAGCCTTCCAAGTCCACTCTCAGAATAAGTCATGATATTCATGCTGTGAGATACGAATTATAGGCCCCTCTCGCCGCGCCCTAAATTCAAAGTCATGATTGTTATAGTGTGTATAGCCTTATAGGCCGCTGTTCTCTTTTACAACTTTATAACTTCCTATGCAGATTTATTAGGACTCTATCGGCACACTTTCTGGCATCCAGTATGCTGGTAGCCTCCCATCAACAAACCTGTGCCACGGGACCCCTGCTACCGCATTCTCTTACTGCTGCAGATCCATCCTCGGCACACCGTGCGTCTTTGTCGTCTGCTCACGCTGCTGGGTTCCAGTTTTTAACACCTAGGCCTGTGTATGGCTTGCCTCGATATTATGCTGCATCCACCACCGCCACCCTGGCCATGTGCCCTCTGTCGTTGCTCACGCTGCTGACGGCTTCCGCTTTTTTAACACTAGGCTCTAGTGTTATGGCTTCCGAATACTGCTGCCTCCACCGCCGCACTGCGCGATATGTGCCTCTGTCGTCTGCTCACGCTGCTGACGGCTTCGCTTTTTAAAACTAGTCTCCTGTGTATGTCTTCCGAATACTGCTGCCTCCACCGCCACCCTGCGCCATATTGCCACTTTCAGGTCTCCTTACACTGTTGGTGGGTTCCATTTTGTGTTAGGGTGCTGTATGGCCTTCCATTGCTGGCTGCCTCCACGCCCACCCAGTGCGCCATGTGCCTCTGTCGTGACATGCACTCACGCTGCTGAGGGCTTCCGCTTTTTAACCGACCGTGGCTGTGTTTGGCTTTTTCCGATTACTGCCTAATGCATCCACCGCCACCTGTGCATGTGTCTCTGTCGTCTGCTCACGCTGTGACGGCTTCCGCTTTTTAACGAGGCCTGTGTTTGGCTTCCGAATACTGCTGCATCCACCGCCCACCCTGCGCCATGTGTCTCTGTCCGTTATGCTCACGCTGATGCTAAGACGGCTTCGCTTTTTAACCTAGGCCTGTGTATGGTTGTTCCGAATACTGCTGCCTCACCGCCACACCTGCGCATGTTGCCTCTGTCGTTCTGCTCACGCTGCTGTGAACGGCTTTCGCTTTTAACCGAGGCCTGTGTTTGGCTTCCGAATACTGCTGCATCCACCGCCACCTGCGCCATGTGTCTCTGTCGTCCTGCTCACGCTGCTGACGGCTTTGCGCATTTTTAACCTAGGCCTGTGTATGGGCTTCCGAATACTGCTGCCTCCACCGCCACCCTGCGTCAGATGTGCCACTTTCAGGTCTCTTACATGTTGGTGGGTTTCATTTTGTGATAGGGTGCTGTATGGCCTTCATTGCTTAGATGCCTCACTGCCACACCTGCGCCATGTGTCTCTGTCGTCTGCTCACGATGCTGATGGCTTCGCTTTTTAACCGAGGCCTGTGTTTGGCTTCCCGAATACTGCTGCATCCCTCACACCGCACCCTGCGCCATGTGTCTCTGTCGTCTGCTCACGGCTGCTGAGGCTGTTCCGCTTTTAACCTAGGCCTGTGTATGTCTTCCGAATTACTACTGCCTCCACCGCCACCTGCGCCATGTGCCACTTTTCGAGAGAGTCTCCTTACACTGTTGGTTGGGTTCCATTTTTTTTTTTTTTCAATTTTGTGATAGGGTGCTGTATAGAGATATAGCCTTCCATTGACTGCTGCCATCCACCGCCACCCTGCGCCATGATGTGCTCTCTTGTCGTGCTGCGCTACACGCTGCTGAGGCTTCCGCTTTTTAAGTCCGATGAGGCCTGTGTTTGGCTTCCGAATACTGCTGCATCCACGCAACCTGCCGCATGTGTCATCTGTCGTCTGCTCACGCTGTTGCTGACGGCGCTCCGCTTTTTAACACTAGGCCTGTGTATGGCCTTCAATTGAAGCTGCTTCTGTGCTCCGCCCAATCTGCCATTGGAACTCTTGATAGTCGTTCTCCACTCACGCTGCTTGCTGGGGGGCTTTTTAACCTTAGGCTCTGTATGGCCTTCAATTTTAGCTGTTACGCTCCGCCATCTGCCATGGGCCCCTGTACCGACTCCTCATGCTGCTGCCAGGCCCGTAATCTGTCATGGGCCCTGGTTTTACCGCCTCCTCATGCTGCTGCTGCCTGGTCCAGAGTGTGTCATGGGTTACCTGTACGGCCTCCCATTGCTGCTGTCTCCATCGCCACACTCTGCCATGTGCCACTTTCACGTCTCCTCACACTGCTGGTGGGTTCCATTTTGTCATAGGGTGCTGTATGGCCTCTCCATTGCTGCTGCTCCACCGCCACATGTGGCTCCACACTCTGGTTATGCCCCGTGACTGCCCAAATGAGTGAAGTGTGCGGTGATTCTAAAATCGTCGGCACTCATCTGCATGTCATATCTGACTGACAGTATTATTTCTCTTCCCCAGCAGACTCCAAGGGCATTTAAATTAAAGAGGTACAGTGTTCTGCACTTAATATAAAGGCTCTCTGAAGCCTAGAAACACCCTTTTTATAAGTTAAATTCGCAGCGAATAATATTCGGCACGAAGCGGAATTTAATCTGCGAATTCGGCGAATCAGCCGAACCTGCGAATTTTTGAATAATTCGCTCATCTCTAATGCTGACCAATAAGCACTGGTAATGATGGTCATGCTGACCAGTAAGCATTTTACCATTATGATGGATCAACATCTTGTTGGACAGCAAATGTGATGAGTAGTTTCATTGGCAAATAAGAAGTCATAAAAGCAGGAAGTGCAGTCTATATGACATCCAGAATGTTTGGTTGAAATTTTTCTCTAACAAAGCACCCTGGGATTAGTTTATGGGAAAGATGCTCTAACCAAAGCACATAATAATATGCATGCAAGCACTTGCAAAGCAGGGAACAAAAATATTTTTAGTAAAAAGCAGCACATAATACACATATTAACACTTGTTAGGCACACACTTAACCCCTTGATTACCAGAGATGTTAAACCCCTTCCCAACCCAGTGTCATTAGTACAGTGACAGTGTATAGTATTCTCACTGATCACTATATTAGTGTCACTGGTGAAGTCCTCAGTGTCGCAGTCAGTTCCCACCAGTGTCAGTTAGTGCAAATAGCCAACCGCATTATCACAGTTCCACTATAAGTTGCTGATCATCGCCCATTGTAGTAGTAAAAAAAAAAAAACAATCCCATTATATATACACCATAGTTTGGAGACACTATACCTTTCACGCAACCAATCAATATACATTTATTGGGATTTTTTTTTTTTACCAAAGACATGTCAGCAGAATATACTTTGGCCTAAATATATGAAGAAATTAGATTTTTTTTACATTTTTTAATTGGATATGTTTTGGAAATATATATATATATTATATTTTCATTTATTATAAAAATAAAAAATAAAAAAAGATCGAGTAGTGATCAAATGCAAACCAAAAAAGCTCTATTTGTGTGAAAACAATTCTATAAATTTTGTTTAGGTACAATGTTGCATGAGAGAGAGACTGCGCAATTACCAGATAAAGTATTGCCGTGCTAAACAGCAAAAAAATGACGCTGGTCATGAAGGGGAGTAAAAACCTTCCGCAGCTGAAGAGGTTAAAGGAAAACAGTTGATGGCCTTGCTAATATATATTTTTTAATTTACTATGACATTTCTGTAACATGGGGGGGGGAAACTCCATATAACTCAAAAGACTTTTCTACTTTTGTACTAAAGCTAAAAGAAAGGTATCATTTAGATCTATCCATAGCAATTAATCAGATCCCAGCTGTCATTTTTCTAGTTGTGGGTGGAAGATGAAACCTATCACCTGATTGGTTGTGATAGACTTCTTTCTTTCTTCTTTCCCAGTGTCTATGTATCAACCCCAAGTTGCTCCGCATGAATGATGGCAGTAACAGAGAGAGCAAACAACGAACATGTCCGCAATATAATTTCCAAAACCAGTACAATTAAAAAAACAAAACAAATGCAAGTCTTCTCAAGTAATTATTCAAAAAGATGTATGCGTGATTCTAATCAAATACATGCTGTTTATTTTCCTCGTTTGTTTTGCTTATACCTTGTAAGGTTGGTTTATTTTAGGGTTCATGGTTAATTTGTGTAAATATTTAGATTGCTCCTGCTAGCCTACTGACAGTCAGGTTAATGTGTAAATGAGGTTTAGCGTGAAGACGTTCTTGCGAGTTCAGATCATTAGGAACAAATGTGGTTTATGAAGGTGGGAAGGATGTAAAAAGTAGTCTTTATATTTATTGAAAGGTACACTCAAGTCAAACATTATACATTTAGATTGAATTGCTTCCTGGCTCTTTTGGTTATATGATCACAGTGTAGTATCTGTTCTTTATCAGTAGTCCCGGATAGAACCCTGGCTCCCGTCGCCAACTGGGGAGTCAGTTAGTAATCCCGGATGTAATTAGAGGTGGGGAATGGATGAGAGTGGTGGGGGAGCCTTTTCCTTCTGGGTTGATTCTGGCCGTGGTGCACCAGGCTTGTCCCCAGTTGTAGGCAAGAAGGGGGGGGCTCTCCCTAAACTTTCTAAGTTTCTGATGCCTTTCTGGTAGGGATGGGGCTGAGAAAGAAGCCCAGCGGTGTATGTGCCCCTGGAGTGGCAGTCCAGGGGTTGCTGAAATTCTCACAGTGAGGAAGCTTACTTTGAGTTTTAGGCACCGTTGGTCACTACACCAGTCACAATTTTTTTTTTTGCACCTGCCTCTAGAGCCAGTGCCTTTTGGACAGGGACTGGAGGAATTTTTTTATTCCGTGGCCACTAGTGACCCGCCATAGTTCTACACTATGGCACAGAAAGCACTTATCCACTTCCCTTTCCCTTTTTTTAATGTATGTTTGTCACTTGCACTTTTGCACAGCACAGTACGCACTTTTTCACTTTCCTGATTAATAGGGTGTAGGTCCTCAGGCCTGCCCTGAAAGTCTTGGGGCGAGGGAGGCATGTGACCTTTTGTTCAGAGTTTCCCTGCTCTCCTTAAGGGGGAGTCCACTACATACTTGGGGTGGCCTTGCTTTTTGGCAGGCCTCCAGAAGAAAGGGGTCCACTTGGTTTCGGCCAGGTGGACCAGTGAGTGCCTCAGTACTTGTCAGGAGCGTTGCGCTCCATGGGATCAGGTCTAGGGCCCTTTCTCTTTGGAGGAGGGCTAGACGTACACCCTGTGCACTTTTTTGTGTGCTTCTCTTTTGTGTGCTCCCTTTTGTGTGCTCACTTTTTTTTGCACTGGGTGCTAGTTTTGTGTGTTTCACTACATCGCAGGACTTTAAAAAGATTATACATTTAGATTAAATAGGACAGTGTAGCATAACTGATGATTAGTTCTAATATTCAGCGTGTCATTGATCATTGGCTGTCCTATCAACTAATTCCCTATAGGTGTCCCTATTCTTCTTCATAGCTCTGAATCTAAGTCAAAGAGAAATGCTGTTCAATGATATAAGCACCGCCCTTTCTTCAGCCATACCAATGCACTCTGAAGTTGTTGTACAACACAGAATCATGTAAAATGGCTGCACTCCCAGCCGAATTCCCTGGTCCTAAATATATTTTAATGAAACCCAATAAAAGCCTAACTCCAGACAAAACATTTTATTTTTCTTTTGGATAGAGTGAGGATTGGTTAGAACGTCTGTAAGGTATTTATTATTGTCAGTTTCCCTGTTGGGAAAATTTCTGCTCACTTCCTGTCAGGACAGGAACAGGTGAGAAATCTCTCCAATGGGGACATGGTCGAAAAAAACAAAATTTAGCATCGTGGGGAAGGTGTAGAACCTTTGAAAATGTTTTTATTATTGTCTGCACCCCCTTTGCTAGTGACTACAGTACCCATCATTTTGTCTATGGGTATCACACACTTAGGAAGTGAGTGGAAATCTCCCACAGCATGCATTATCATGATCACTGATCATGATTACACATAATGTGTTAACAAAAATAACATAAATATTAAAACCTCCCAAAAATAACATAAATAATTAATTTGTTAAAACTTTGTTTCTCTTTTCTCATTTTTGGTGTGTTTTGGGCTATTTCAAGTGTATTAGATATTACGAAAAAAATAAATACCCCAAAATACCCCCAAAACATTTTTATTTACAATTTTCTTTTTTTGTATGTTTTGGGTATAGTTTTTTAATGCTTTCTAGACCATATAAAAAAATAGCTGCAATGGCACCTTTAGCGAACTTTCATTACACTTTCTTTAAATTCTTTTAGTTTGTATTTGTCTTTATTTTTTATTTGAAAAAAATAAATAATAAAAACAACATGATATGCTAAATATTTATTTTTGAGTTCTCTTTTTATTTCTTTTTTAACTTTTGGAATTGTGTCTTTAATATGTCAACATAGACCCGTTCATTGAGTATCATAGCGAGAATTCTAAATATTCGTGTTAGTTATCAACATCCGCATTTCATCTTCTCACTCATATTCTAATGAATGAGCTTCTAGTCCAATGATAAAAAAAGCCATTTATTAAAGGTGAACCTTTTTCTCAATGAAATTGTAGTCCATTTTGAACTGAGGACTCTTTTTTTTTTTAACAACCATAATGGCATTGGTACAATTCATATAGACGTCAGGGAAAAAGAATACAGGTATTGGCATTGTGATAGGTATAGAACAGTACAGTGCACCACAAAAAAACCACATAGGTCACAAAAAGTATCATCCTGCACATACATCCTAGAGCGGGGGTGACAGCCATGTCCAGGCCCATGCCTAGATAGAACATCAGAAGGAGGGGCTCATTTATTGGGTTAGCCACGGCTGCCATACCCTATCAAATGTCTGTGGGTAGTTCCTACTAATGTAGGTCAGTTTATACATGGGAAGGACTTCCTTAACAGCTTTCTCCCTGGAATCAATGGAGAGGGGGGAAGAAGCATTCCACTCGAGAAAAAATTCTTTCTTGGCATAGTATAATAGGTAAGAAATTAGCAATTTGATATACCATGGCCGTTGGTCGTCATCCTGGGTGGCGAGCAATACCAAGGCTGGACAGACTGAAAGGGCCAGCTGCACGCGGCAGTTGATGAGCTCAAACGCAGCCGTCCAGAACCTGGACACCTCCGGTAATCCCAAAAAACATATGGTAATAGGTGGCACCTGCTGTTTGGCAGTGGGGGCAGTCTGAGGACCATTGAGGGTAAATCCTGTGCAATTTTCAAGGAGGATAATATGAAGAAGGAATTTCATCTGAATCATTTATCACTGGAGGAGACCACCAATCTCGAGCTGTCCTCAAAGCATCCCTCCCAGTCCTCTCTATCTAAGGCGGGAATGTCAGTTTTCCAGGCCTCCCAGAAGGACTCCATTTTGGGGCACTCCACACAAAATACAGCTGAGTAGAGGGAAGAAAGATTTTGGATAGGGATTCCTGGGCCAGCACATCCTCAGTGTGGTCAGAAGTCAGCTGGGGAGGTGCAAGGAACTGTGCCCCAGCTGCATGTCATCCGGGTT